CTCTGAAATCAAGTAATGTTGGTCTTTCAAGTTTGTTTTCTCAATGTTGTGGTCATTGCAGATCCTTTGCATTTCCTTATGAGCTTCAGAACCAGGTTGAAATCAGGCGCCGATTTCAACATGAAATCAGTTTACCATCTCTGAGTCTCACTGTGTCGGTTCGGAGATGAACAACGGCTTTTTCAATTTTTTTCTTTCCAGGAGGCTCAGGAGACACTGCAAGAGAAGGTGCAGCATTGTCTTCTGGGCTCCAGGAAGCTGGCTGGACAGGTTCTAGCAGTGAACAGGGTTCTTCTTGGGCACAGGGGTCCCCAGAGAGCGGCTTTGCAATGCAGGTGCTTTGGCTGTGTGTAGGAGCATAGGCACTGTCCATGTGGGCTGTTTTACGTGACCCCGTCCTGCACACCAGCTGGGTTTTCCTGCTCCAGGGCGTGCTGTGGTTGGCAGCACTCAAGGTCAGCAGGCAGTCACAGCAGCTCGGAGTGCAGAGAGAACCTCCACCCCCCTGCCTGCCTCCGGGGCTGTCCTGTCCTTCACCTGAGGCCAGGCTTCTGCAGTCACCTCCCCTACTGTGGAGCTGTTTGCAGTGGATGGGGATGCCTCGGCCCCACACTCCACCTTGGCCGGAAGAGACATCTCATAGGCTTAGTTTTTCTTGGAAAACCATAGATACAGTCAGCTAGTAGCTTCCTCAGATTCAGCCAAAGCTATGTGGAAAAATTATCTGTTGAACATGGACAGAGTCTTTCCCAAATACCACAGCATAGCGGCTGTTTCTACTGCCAGCAGGGTTGATGTGGGCACGATGGAGACGCTTTAAGGTCTATGGGGGGGGGGGTCTGTGCAAACATCCTGAAGGACCTGGACACCCTCTCTGGTGTTTGTGGGTGCAAGACCATGTGTGTCCTGGGATAACGTCCCCAATGCCAAGGGGCAAGTGTGTTTAAAATGAGGTGCATCTATAACACCTCTCACTTTGCTGGGTAACTAGGGTCGGCTCTGGCTCTAAGCCCAGAAAGGTGCTTCCTAGGGAAAAGGAGGCTAATAGAGGAAAACCTGCTCCCAGCAGGGCGCAGGGGGCTTGGGTCTCCTCCTTGTCTGCGGCGCTGGGTCCCTCAGAACCGTGTGTGAAGGATGCTGGGCCGGGTAGGCCTCAGCAGGGGAAGGCGAGTTTCCTAAATCACACGGATGTCCACATCCTGCCCTGCTGTCAGTGAGAATCTCGGCTTCTGGGCGTTGGCGCCTCCCCCTCCCCAGGGAATAGCACTCCTCTCCCAGTTTGAGTGCAAACTGCTGTTTTCCTCCTTCGCCCTTTAGACCCACTGACTTCTCCCGATTTCCCACTGACTTCTCCCGATTTCCGTGGCTGTCAGCGCAGTGGCTGCAGGGCGCGGTCCCGCAGCCACGAGAAGCGGCGCCCGGGTGTAGACTCCAGCAGCCTGCATGGCGGCGAGGTCACCTGGCCGGAAGCCCCTCGTTTCCATCCCAGAGTGCGCAGGGTCTCTGAGAGCCCTCCTAGAAGGGGTTATGGTTAGCGAGGGAGGAGGCAATCTTTATGAAGTCAGCAAGCATTTATCCTCTGCGGGTTGCTGGTACTTTCTTGAGCCAGAGAACATTTTTTAAAATGAACACAACAGCCCATGTCTCCAAAGTGACTGAAGAATTGGGAGGAAGGTGTCATCCGTGCGGTCCAATCAATGTAAGAGACGCGGTTCTTCCTCAGTTATAGTCCTGCATCTCCACCGTCGGAATCCACTGGCTTCTAAACCTTCCCTGTGCTGATGTGAATCTGACATTTTCTATGTAAAACTCAGTATTTTGTATACCCACTAAAGGGAATTTTTTGGACCTTAATAATTGTTCCTCTCAGTACCAGATCTCAAAATTTCAGTGAAGCACACTGGATCTCCATTCTCAGGGCGCAGAACACCGCCGTGGCTGCGCGCAGGGCAGCACGAGTGAAGCCGCGAGGCTGCGCGAATTTCCACAGCTCAGAGCTGCTGCTTTGCAGGGGTAGGCTCAGTGCTGCGCGCACGCCCGGAATGCCACGGTCATGGAGGACACCGCACTGTCACAGTGTGCTGGGGAAACCACCGGGACGATAAACCTGGCTTGTTTGTGCCCGGTGACTGGATGCTCGGAGGCTGCTTGGCCCTTTCCTGGGATTCAAATGACAGTATTGCTCAGGATTCTGAGCTCTCTCCCGGCCCAGTATTTGCGCCTCTTCCACAGGCGAACCTGCCTCATATTTATGCACAAAGCTCATTCTCATGCCCACTGCCTTCATCACCAGTGTATTTCCTGCTTAGCACAATGGCAGCCACACAGCAGCCTTTCCGTGGATATTCGGCAAAGCTCAGCTACACTGGTTCAGCAAATATACTTTAAGTTCTCCGCAGCAGAGCGTGTTTGAGGTGCTGAGGAGAGATTAGTGGACAAAACAGTTAAAATCTAGCTCTCTGTCCTGGGTGTGGTTACGCGTGTCTATAACCCCAGGATTTGGGAGGCTGAGGCAGGAAGATGGCTGCAAGTTCCCATACAGCCTAGGACAGGTAGTAAATTCAAGGTCAGGCTGAATTATATAGCAGGACCTTGTCTTAAAAACAAAACAAACACCAAAACAAACCCAAAATAAATAAATAATATTAAAAAACCCAGCTTTCTAGCGCTTACATTCTGGGGGTAAGACATAGCTGACAGCAGGAAAAGTCACACGGGATTTAGGCAGAAGACTATTAAAGAAGGAACAGTGACTTACTGGGGGTGGATGGATTTTTTTTTTTTTTTGAGGATTGCCCAGAGCCTTCACACTAAACCCCAGCCTCTATTTTATTTTTTGTTTTCAGACAGCATGTCACTAAGTCTTTAAATTGTGCAGGTTCAGCTCACACTTGCCATCCTCCTGCCTCAGCCTCCCAGAGCCCTGGATCACTGGTATGCTCTACCACACCCTGCTGGGAAGTTCCCTTTAATAAGTTTGCTGAGGGGGAATCATGAAGGATTGGAAGGGGCCAGCCACTCCAGCAAATGGCAGAACTTTCCACTAAAGCAGCAAGAATAATCAGGGCAGACCCAAGGCGCACGCATTGGAGCAGTGATCCCTTAGGTCTCTGGACAGAGCTGGAAAGCCGGAAACTGGCAAGTGGGCTAGGAAGCTGGCCCTGAAGCGTGCATCCCTGCGGGGTGCCAGGGGTTCCCCCACTGAGTGCATCCTGGCCACACCCTGCTGCCCCTCGTGTGTGGAGCCCAGCAGCAAGGGCAGACGGGGCCCATGGTTTTGGTGCTCACACACGTGTCTGCACAAGGTGGCTTCTGATTCCCGTGGGTACAAGGAGGGCACATGGCTGGGAACTTTGCAAAGAAAGAACAAGGACAAAGGAGAAAGCAGAGCCCACTGCACTTGCTTCTCGATAATGTTCTGGCTCAGACCAAAACATAGATGGTGTGGAAGAGAGCCACGTTAGGAGGGCTAGGACCCTCAAGCCGCTGTTTATGATGGGGTTTCAGTATAGCACTATTAGACTTAGACTCTAATATAAGAGTGTTTGTGAATTGTAAAGAGGATCCGCACTTCTTCATACAGATTGCCACTGAAATATGTGCGGTAATCCAAGTCCTCCTTACAATAATTATCACTGATTCAAAAAATTTTCTCTGCTTCCTGTAGGTAGTGAAGTGAGTTGTGGCAGTAAACCTGGGTGTGGTGCTGAGTGCCGACCAGCAGAAAGGCAGGTCGTAGAAATGACAACGCTGTGTCCTCGGCCACCTTGTTTACTGGATCTGGCACCATGTGACTTCTGGCTGCTCCCCAAAGTCAAGTGACCAGGAAAGGGAAATGGAGGAGGGAGTGCGCCGGAGCTGCTGCAGGACGTGGCTGGGACGCTGGGATGAGTGTGTGTAAAGCAGGGGAACCGTTGTGACAGGGTTTCGTAGCAATGGGTCTTTGACTATGATACATTTTTCAAAAATTAATTTTATATTCGCTATATCTTTTGCTCACACATCATAAATAAAAAGGCTAAAAGTCCACTGTCCATCACATTCAGAGCCGGAACCATAGTAATGACGCATTTGTGAACAAATCCGAGCTCACAAATGGTGTCCAGGGACCTCTGGCCACGGATTTAGACAGGCCGAGGTTTCCTGGGCCACCCTGAGTGAAGAGGAATTAGCACAGAACGTGTAAATGCATGCGGGTGTTAATGCACATACGCAGCGCAGATTTCTTTCCAAAGTGTTTTTACTGCACCCCAGACGTGCCTGGGGCCAGTCCACATGCATCGTGGCTTCTGCACTAAAACTCCTGTGGCAAGTGGCGCATGCTCTTGTCTCCGTGGCTTAACCCATAGCTCTGCAGGGCAACTTAGGGGGCGCTTCTGAGTTTCACCCACGGAATTTCTAAGATGTAAAATATTAATTTATATCACATTCGGGTAAAGTCAGTGGGTCGTGACTAAGTGGCATCAGGTTCGTGACAGTGGGGCATGGTGAGTTTTGACTTTGCTGTGATTTTAGTTTATTTGGGGCCATCCTGTCTCCTTTAGTCAAGGTAAGGAACGTACTGCTTGTTTGCTTGCATTCTGGATGTCTGGGGAAGGTATACTTTTTCCTGTTATCATTCCAGGGAGGCACTATTTCAATTTATATGTGGGTGGCTTTTATCCTGGGAAGATGAGGGCAATAAAAGCCACACTCTGGATATTATTTTAGAGAGACAACAAACTTCCTGATTTGCGATAGATTAAATTGAAGTTTTCCGCTACTTGCAACCATAACAGAGATTTCTAACTAGTAAGGTGTTATTGGATATTTTGGTACCTGTTTAAAAGCGGTGGATTAATATCGCTAACTCCAGTTAATCCTCTACTCTAGGCATGTCACCCCGTATTGGCAATGGAAATCTTTTCACTGTCAGCCCAAGGCGTATAGTCGTGGTGGTGCGGTGTCGCCCACCAACCACGGCAGCACAGAGCGCCCAGCGGGCGGGGTCTCGGGCTTACTTGCTAGGGTCCGCCGCTTTGAAGTAGGCGTTGACGGTTTCTGTGAAAGCTGCTGCTACAGGGAGGGTGTCCTGGGCCCCCATGGTTAGGGGGCTGGGTCCCCGAGATGAACCTGTAGGAAATGGAAAGCTTTGGATTATTATGGGCCTAGTGTGGGTGAAGCTCAAAGCTCATCCAAACATTACGGTGCAAAATCTAACACCAAAACCCAAATGTGCTCACAACCGTAACTGTGTGTATGTTTAACATTGAGCTCAAGTATTTAAGAGAAAATATTTGGCTGGTGTACAGACAAACACACTCGAAATTAATTCTACGGTGTATCCCACCACAGCAGAGGGTCCAAGCAGAAGGACAAAGTCACGGGCTTTCAGGTGTTTTGCGTAAAGCATCAGGCAGTATTTGCATGACAGTTTGTGCAGCACGTAGTTAATAAAGACAATTATTTGCTTCCTGTTTCTTATTCAAGAATTCATCCTAATCCATGGCTCAAAACCTCTTTTGCGTTTCTTCCTTTGGAGCCGAGTGGGGTCACACTACCCACTGTCCCATACATTGTCCCTTTGTGGACTGTTCCCATTATCCTCAGAACCAACACACTCAGATTCACATGTCTACAAGCGCACACATGCCGAGACGTGCGCGCTGGCGCAGCGCAAGCTCAAGCGCGCTCCGTGATACTGCGAGGGCGTCCGCGTGCTCACCGAGCACCTGCGAGGCTCCCGCCCTGGATTTGCTGCCCTCCGCGGACTGCTTTCCTCGACCTCCGCCACAGCCCTGTGCGACGGGGACGGGAAGTCTGATTCACAGAACAGGAAGCTAAGGTTTGGAGGGCAAGCGACTTGCTCGAGGGAATACTGCTGCCTCGGCAGCGAGACCGCAGGTCAACCCCGATTGGCCTCGCTCTGCCACTGTGCCTTCTAGTTTTTCATACAAAGCAGCTATTCTCTTGTTTTGGAGTGACACAAGGAGTCCGTAAAGATCAAAGCTGAGTTCATCTCCAGGCACGGGTGGAACAGAAAAGTGAGTGTCCCATGTCCCTGAGGCAAAGGCTATTGATTTGTCCCCATGCTGGCACAGGCCCTGTACTTTGATGTTTTCATTTTTTTTTTCCCTCAGTAACTTTTATTCCTTTTGGCTGTGAAACAAAACCTTTGCTTTGGATGCCTCCCTCCTGAAGCAAACCCGACCCAGTTCCTGTCAGCCCTTCCTTCTGCATCTCTGGGCTCTCAGTAACTTGGACTTGCTAGCTATTAGTTCAACGAGCCTTTGTGTGTGGTGGTTGTGTTTCAGGCACTACTGCAGATGCGGAAGATTCCAAGACCAACACAGTCCTCGTCCTCAGGAGTCACAGTTCATGCTCCTGGCTTCACCACCATGCTCACCATCTCTGCCACCATCGCCATCACCACCACCACCATCACCATCACCACCACCACCATCACCACCACCATCACCACCATCACCACCACCA